TTCAAAGATCCAGTGTAGCTGACAAACTTTCCTGATAACGGTTTCAATATGAATTGTAATCTGTAACCGCTTATCCTTTATTTGAATGTTTGAACAAAGTCAGATTAAAAATACCCCCAAATCTGCAGACTAAGCGAATTTCAACTTGTCTGATTACATTTTTACTAAAATATTTCAATAAATAAAACATATACAGGGTGTCCGGTCATAAGTGTTAAATAAAATGTTGCATCAAACTACATGGTAATGGCGACATAATGACGCACATTTGAGGTTCCCAACCTCAACCGTTAGAGAATAACAAATGAATTAAGGGTTTCCAAAAATTGTTGTAGTTGTTATGAAAAAGGTTATATTACTCTGTTAAAAATGCACTAATTGTTAATTTAAATACCATTTTCAGATTCCTCACAAAATTTTAAATAGATATAACACATAATCGTTGGGGTACGTAAAAATATCCTACTTAAATTTCTTTGTTAAACAATTATTTTTAATATCGACGAAAATTTGAATAACATTCAGCAATTTATTTCTCGGTTACCGAGTTCCACTGAGTTTAACAAATATTACTAAAAACTTTCTTATTTAAAGGGCTTTACAATGGTTTTATACAGTTTTTACCAAGTTTCAAATTTCCCAATGTAATTCAATCATTGTTGTGAAAAAAACATGGTAGGGCAAAGAAAAGCTATTGTGAAGAATAATACATTTAAGTGCAGGCAACGAATAATTTGTATTTTTTTCTCGCATGCAACGTTTTTTTTATAACTATTAAGCTAAGAAAAGAAACATATAGTTGTAAAACGTGTTTGTGATAAAGTTACGGTTATCATATATGTTTCATATTTCAGATAAGATTTCAATTAACTCGCGGAATTTCGGTTGTGGTTATACCAAAACTACCCGAAATGGATTGGACGTGGTCGACGTGGAGGAAGTGTGACATGGCCTCCTCGACCTCCAGACTTGAGCCCGTTAGATTTTTTGTTTGGGGTTACATGAAAGGTCTAGTTTACTTAACTGTAGTAAACTCTGAAGTTGAGTTACGGGAGAGAATCTTTGAGGCTGCTGGGAAAGTAAGGGAAAAATTAACTAAATTAAAAATTAAACTCTTTAGTTTGAAAAATTGACGAATGAGGTCACAGTTGGCGCGATTCACAAGCGAGCTAGGGCCTGCTTGCGGGAAAACGGAGGGCACTTTACACCCAAACTGTGGTTCCACCTTACTAAAAGTTGTGCTTTGGACGAAGTATGTCATTGATTTGATTGTTATTGTGTATTTTTACTAATGTATTGTGTTTTTTTATAACAAATTTTCCAAAACCTAAAAAAACTCTTTAGTTTGATGGAAGTGTAGTCTGGTCAATCATAAATTACACAAACCCTCATCATCAATGGTCAGCTCATAAAAATAGTAAGTAAAATTCATTATTTTTTACAATATCTGTTTTAGTTTAACGGTGATTTTTCACAATAGTGCGTAAAATTCACCATAGATTTGACAGTAGATAAATGTAGTTATACATCATTGTAAAGCCCCTTAAATAAGGAAGTTTTCGGTAATATTTGTTTAACTCAGCGGAATTTGGTAACCGAGAAAGAAATTGCTGAATGTTATTTAAATTTTCGTCAATTTTAAAAATAATTGTTTAACGAAGAAATGTAAATAGAAAATTTTTTCGTACCCGAACGATTATGACTTATATCTATTTAAAATGTTGTGAGGATTCTGAAAATGACATTTAAATTAACAATTAGTGCATTTTTAACAGAGTAATATAACCTTTTTCATAACAACTACAATATTTTTTTGAAAACCTTAATTAATTTGTTATTTCCTAACGGTTGAGGTTGGGAACCTCAAATGTGCGTCATTATGTCGCCATTACCATGTAGTTTGATGCAAAATTTTATTTAACACTTATGACCGGACACCCTGTATATTTCCAATTTAAATAACATTAGATTTAACGAGTGCTTAGGTTTGCTGCTACGGGGAAGGTAAAAAGTGATTTTTGACCATATGTCAATAGTATAGGATTAAATAAATAAATTTGCCAATTTTTATCAACATTATATCCATAAACAAGTAAATTACAACAGTTTTCATTTTCTCCATAAGAAGAACATGGGAATTTGAAATTACACTTTTTTTTATTTTCTCCGTGTCCGTTAGGCATACAACAGCGCTTCAATATACTAAATTATTTCTTTTTTTAAGCTCTACAAAATGTTTAAAAGGAAATTACAAAATTCTTTGTTTTTAGGGTAAAAAATGGGAAAAACCCATTTTTACCCCATAAAACCCCCCATAAACCCCTGTTCCCATGGTTCGATTATGCTGGTTCGCGAACTCGTTCAAACAAACTTAGGTTTACACGTTTGTACCAAATTTCATCAAAATCGGATCATTTTTGTTCGAGTTATCACGCTAACGGACACACATATATATATATATATATATATATATATATATATATATATGAATTTGAACGGATGGTGTTTTTGGCCTCTGGGGACCTCAAAACGAAAAAGTAAATCAGTCTCGGGTCTAGGTCTTACCATGAGACCTACGGTAATAGCTTATTCTCCATATGGGAAATTCGCTAAAATGAGACTGACGAAATAGTTTATGAAAATGTATAACTGCATTTTAAATCGGCTACTTTTTTGACAACAAATGTGACCTGATTAAAGTAGGTAAATGACTCTTCAGTCTTTATGGAGTAGATCTAGATCTATGAAAAGCAAAAGGGTATTGCATTTCTATTTTAATCTCGGAATTAAGTTTCAAATCCTATTGAAATGCGCAATTTGCGCATGAGTCTTCTCATTTACAATACTTACACAGTTTTATGGCAATGCATATGTGACCTTAGGTTCCCAATGAAGTTCCCGCAATGAATACAGTTGAATAAATAGTAAAGAAAAATTGTTATTTGTCGTGTTGAATAGAGAGCAATACAAGTTGCTTTACAAATATTACTTTTTCTTATTATGAAAGTTGTACATTTAACAGTGTTTGTTGGGAATTAAATGGGATGATCAACATTTTGCTCTCACCATTTGATGTATTCAAGTTTTCTTCCTTAATTAGATTCATTATCTCTGCCAACACAGAAGAAAGAAGCGTTTTAATTATGATTAACACTGTGTCAAGTTATCTTAACAATTAATGTTGTTGTCTTATCTCAATAGCTTGGTTAAATGCAACATTGTTTGGTTATTATTATTTTAAGCAGAATATCTTACAATAGTTATTTGTGTAACTAGTGAGCAAAGACCATTTGTACTCGTGTTACACATTATATTTTTCCTACAGTCACTATAAAGCATATAAATAATTAGTCTTTTAAACATAATACAATACGATTTTAGGTTAGGTTAAGCCCAAGCGTCGAAAGGAATGGGAAACACTGCACCAGCTGATTGTAGTCGTAGTATCTTTAGGCGTTACTTATTTTCAAGAGTACACTTTTAAACAACAATAATCAGTATAAACAGTATAAACAAGTAATATTGTAGCTTTCTCACTTACAGAAAACTTACACATCAAGAAGAAAAGAAACATTATTACTATAAAAGAAAAGAAAAGATTTACTACCCTTCCTGAAGCAGCAAACGTAGGTTTTCAATAAAGCTAATGTTATTGAAATTGATTTAAGTGAAAGGCTAACCAGGAAAATGGACATTCGCTTAGTCTGCAGGTTTGCTGTGGCATGGGTATTTTTATATTTACGTTTTCAAAATAATTTTAATTTAAAACTGGTAAATTGTTGATTGTAATATCAATTAAATGATTCAATTAAATGACAGAATTATACTTAATTCTTCTAATTAAAATTCACCCCTGTTATGAGGCACAGGCAGTGATACTAACTAAAACCCAAGTAGCTTATAAGTAAATAAGATAGATCTGTTGCAGTATGTCTTATCATTAAGTATGTTTCTAATTTTATCGAAACTGAACTGGTTTAGCATTTTAATTTTGTAATTCTTGAAAGGGTGGTAAAAAACTATAAATAATTTTATTATGTAATAAATCTTGTAATCATATTAACGATATAAAACAACTTACCGACATTATTTGCATGGGCAAGGCTTTAAGGACAATGATATACAACTTTTCGACGTCTAGAAAAAAAAACTACAAGAAAAAACAAAACACACATTCACATATCTGTATAAGTAGCTTTAAGTTAGGAGACAAGTAATATGTAGAGGTAGCCGAGACCGAGTCATAATACCAATTTACCAAACAAAAGGTCAAAGATCAAGCCTTAAAATCAATTTCACCCTAATTTTCATGGGTCCAAAGGATCCAGGTAGTATACCCACACTGCAACACAACCGAAATCCAACCCCCACTAATACTGAGCTAAGTTGGCTTTTCCTTTGTGGTTTCAATCATGAGAAACTATCCCATTCATACGTCATGTCGTATAATGTGGTATCATATTCCAAAATTGGATTATATCCAACCACATTTTACATATTACTGGTATATGAAATCTGCCTTTTGTTCTAAAACTTCTTACTAAAACGTTACTGAAACCAGTTTTCTAAACTAAAAACTTGAGTGGCAAATACGGACCTTCAAATTTCTTGTTTTACCATTAGTATCAATCATTCTTAATCACTCCATTAATTTTAATAGTACGCACAACAAAAAGCAATCAATGATTTTTTAGCTAAAATACTTAAAATACTTAAAGTACTTAAAGTGATTTAAAAACCTGCATTTAAGTAATTCAATTCGATGCCCTAGGTTGCATCCGGTATCAACTCCGGGGAGTCATCTTCAGGCGTACAAGGATAAAAGTAACAAAAAAACTGCATAATATTATAAAAAGTGATGAGATTATTCTAGCGTGGAATATAATCCATGTTAAGTACATAGTACTGCCGTACCATTTGTAGATGGCCAATGTCAATTGATGCCGTATTGTTGTTTGAACCAAGATAGTTTCATGTAAAAAAAAAACAAAAAACTGATATTTGAAAGAGACTGTTTATTGCTACTTTAAAACGTAGTCATGATAAAGGTGACTCGGGATGTAGAAAATGATCAAAGAACGACGATCCAGGAAATGCCAATGGGTTTAGCCGAGGTATTCCGGGACCCGAAAATGAAAACGGATTCGTCCTAGGGGAGTTGGGGCTCGAGAACATATCATCCTGAGGGAATGTGGACCTGAGGAAAGGGCTGTTGGGTGACCTCAAGTCCTTTTGACTGAGCAATAGTTGCAGCAAAGTTAAAAGTAACGCAGTTTGAGGCGCAGCGTATACTCTAGGAGTCATCCGTGACAGAAGAGTCCACAATAGGAAGAAGCGCCGCCACAAGCCGACAGACGGTGGCTGCTTAGAGGCATCGAACTTCTGGAAACTCTTGATGGAGGCGAGATAGTCAGTCAGCACGCCTGGGTAGCGGTCTAGGCACTGCTGCATGTCCATCACCTTGTATCCTGCAGCAATATACATCACCAATCACTTTGTTATACTCAAGTGGTCGTCCCATCTAATATGGACCAACTGTAACAAATCTGTATTAAAAAAATACATTTAAATGAACCACTCACAGATTTATCTAATGTCTGAAATTCTATTCACTCTCAGCTTTTGTCATTGTGCTGGTTGAAGTGTCATGAAAGATAGAGAGTTTACAATAATAGAGTATACAAAAAAGGTTTGTCGTTCCAGTTGAACTTGACAAACATTTTGGCGCATTTGACAGATATCAATTGCTTTCAATAATCAGTGCGCTCTATCGCTGGCTCAAATTAGCTACTTTCATTTATCGATCGTTAATGTGGCATTAAATAAACTCTATAATGTACAATAGGGTGTTATATATGTTTGGCTTGGATAAAACGTTGGCGTATTCGACAGAAACCAACAGTTGTGTGCGGTGTAATTATAATGTAAGAAGAAAAGTCGAGGGTTTTGTTATAAAAGAGAATTAATTTATCAGAGAAAAATGAGTACGTGTTGTTGTGAGAAGCGATAAGTTGCGTTGTTGACGAAATTATGAAGTTGATGAATGCGAAGCGGAATGGCTGAAGTAGAACGATGACGAAGTTGAACACTTGGAATGATAGGAGAGTAGACTGAAGCGTAACGAATGGAGAAAATTTCATTAATGGCGATGCGGTTTTATATGGCGGCTTCACGTTGGATGAAATACGTTCAACCGAGACATTTAAATAACTTGAGAAAAAAATCGCACTAACTTTCTAACTTTTTTTTAGATATAAACCGCGGCTTGAGAGGACCAAAAATGTGCGTATAATATAAGAGGAAAAATCAAGGGTTTTGGTATAAAAAAGGTTTAATTTATGAGAGAAAAAATTTGTACGTGTTGTTATGAGATGTGATTCACGATGAATGAATATAACAATAAGAACTAACATATGGTCGTGTGATGAGAATTACAGATTGACTGTTAATAACAACATCAGAACAATATATTGGTGGGTCAAATAAACAATGATAAAAATGTACTACCGCTGAACAATTCGCAAAATATCACAAATTATTCATGAAATGAAAAACATAAACATAACTGTAAACAATCCTACTTTGACAGTTCTCATTGCGAATCACAGTTTTTTGTTGCTGCTTAGTTCAAATTAGCTGTTTTCATAAATGCAAAAAAAAATATAGTGCTGCACCCTGTTGGTAAATCTTATAACTTTTTAATGCTTTTCCATATCATAGAACCAACTTTTTTAGTTGAATCAGCTGACTAAATTCTTTAATTCCCTTTAATAAATATGAATACTCATAAGGTTAACACGGGAAATTACAGAGCCACTGGGGCGGAGCCCGAAAGGATTTTTGAGATACGAATATGCCTATATGTTAATCGGGAATGTAAGCTATCATCATGCCAAATTTCAGCCCAATCCGTCCAGTGGTTTATGCGTGATTGAACTTCAAACAAACAAACAAACACACAAACTTTCACATTTATAATATTAGTAAGATTGTAACCTCACAACTGAGGAAGAGATCTTGGATAAAGTTTAAAAGCCTAACAAATAAAAATCATCTGTTGCCGATGAACTACCTCCCTTCTTTCTAAAAAAAGGCTGAGTCGATTCCCGAAGCACTTTAAGTCTTTGTAGATACACCAATTTGCAAAAAAGGGACCCAAGGCTTTTCAGTAGTTGCGAAAATGTTTAATTTTATAACTGTGGTGATACGAGAACTACATAAAGGTAATTTAGCTGGCCTTCTTCGATTTAAGTAAGGCCTTTGATATGGTTGACCATTGATCGTTGTAGTTTAGTTATGCTTTACAAGAGATGCTTTTTGGTGATAAATTCACCATCGTTAGTACTTATATAAGATTAATACCTATCTTCCCCATTACAGGTGCGTTCTGCAGTTTGAATCACGAACAAACACAAAGTTACACGTCATACAAACGAATAAATACATGGTAGGCCTACTTTTATTTTATTACTTTATTTTACCGCGGTACTTGTAAACGCACGTCGGTCGTGTGTCGAGGCTTGACAATACACCTGTATTATTGTTAATTTGAACCAATCTATAAAATATTATTTGATATTAGGTAAACCTATTCAAACGGCACTCAACTATTACAAAATGTGTTCACACTTAACCCCACCAACAGAGCATACTTATTATACTTTAGGTGACATTAGAAGCTACTGGTAGGCAATAAGCAAATACAAATACCGGCTGTCAGGCAGTAGTTAGCCCTCCATATTTGACACCGGCCCTGGAACAGCTTGGCCCCTCTCGTGGAGTCTACTGCGCAGAATGTCTCCGGAGTCCTCTCTTTGGGACAGAAGTACAAGCACCACGCCTCACTGAGCCACCATTCACCCTGAAACACTGAATGCATTGCCATTGGTGACATGTTTGAAATCACCATTTTTACAATAAAGATTAATACTATCAATGGATTTATACGACTGTTTGTGTTTGTACGACTAGCGGTTTAGGAACAAGTATTCTGGTAAAAATATATTTTATTCAGAATTAATAACTTCTGGTGCTTTTTTTTTAACAAACCAATATAACCAATTTAACCGGGACGGTTGGAGTCGTCCTGTAATCCAGCTACTAGCAGGTTACGAATTGTGGATATTTATAGGAATGCACTGTGGATGCGATACTCCCTAGTGTGGATTGACGTCCGCACGAGTGAGTACTACGACTATCCGCAGTACTTTCCTGGTAATTAGACCAATTCGTATATACCGAGGCATAAATATGGTTCGGATTCCACTATAAACTGTAGGTCCCTTAGTTGCCATTAGCTGTATGGTCTATTAATTAACAGCTGTGTCTAAGGAACAAGTCGGCCTTAGTCACTAACAAGACTACAAGATCGTGCCACTCATCTTAACTCATCTCCATTTATACTTGGCTTAAAATACCTACTTTGTATGGTCACCATTTCAAATAAAAGTATTAAAGTATAAATATGGTTGAAAGTATTGTTCTCTAATCAACGGAACCAACCACTTCTTTCATAATCTTGTTGATGAACTTATCCGTCTTAAACAATCTGTATTTACTAGTTTAAAGTTGCTCAAAAATCTCTATGGTGAATGCTAAATATAGATTTTTTAAATTTGAATGATTTTATTCATGTCGTTGATAAATTAACGATTATTATTGTTATTATTATTATTATTACAATAAACAATAAATTGTATGTATAAATTATCATCATACATACAATGCAATTTATTATACTTAATAAATAGCTGCACTAGCTAATGTAGATTGCACTAATATTTTGTTTTATAAATTTTATTGCTAGCATTTAATTAATTTTCAAACATCGATTATAAGGGTTTAGAGCCTATAATTTCAAATTCAATCTTCGGTAATTGCGAAGACAGTTCAAACACGTAGATTCGACTCCTCTGATCTCGGGCTTGTTATTGACTTACTCCCTAAACTCCCATATGCTCCATCTGAACAGCTAATTTGCTGAATGCTCATAACTGGTCTTTATCAAACAATATTTGTTCATCCTGATGGGTTTTTATCATTAAATCTAATCCTTCTTCTTCTCACTCTTCCCTTCGTCCGTAGTCCTCTTCTTCTCATGTAACTTCATGTACTGCGCATTAATTAAATTAGCCTAAAACCAAATCTAACCACGATTTAACACTGCAAAACATATCCTTCGTCACGGATAAACAAGTATCATTTTAAAAATAACTTAGACTTAGTTAAAATGGAGGATATGCAATGTTTGAACTGTAAGGATACAATTTTAAACTTAATATTTGCAACACCATTTGTTGTTAACTGACTATTAGTTTTAAATCAGTTCAACTGCCCTGCCTACAGTTATTTGATTCGCTGTTTCTATCACCACTGACTTTGTCCATTTCCTCCGCTTCAAAAGTTGCAGCATACCAGCATTGCTCGAGGTCAACATATTTAGTAGGAAGTACTGAATTACAGTTTAGTTTTGATACAAGTAACATGAAATAAAAACATTTCAACAAGAATATAGAGATATATGTTATTTTTATCCAAAGAAAAATGACATAATCAGTTTGGAAATTAAAAGACTAGTTCAAACATTACGAAATCAACTCTTTGAAAACATAGAATAGCAAGATACTAATTTGAGCTTAAAGAAAATTACTTCCTTGATGTTACTTATATTGAATTTGGCAGAAATTTGTTTAATTTAGTTAAAACTTACGGAAAATGATGAGCAGCAGTCGTAAAGTCATCCCATATCCCTCACACTAGTCACCAGACACTCACAGGCATTCTCTTATCTTGTAATCTATCACTGTCTTATCACATCTCTGATTCATTGCGTAAAACATAGACATTTACATTTAAATAATACGTCGACACACAAACTACCTTGTAATGACCTCTTTTTATTTAATAGGCCCAGGTATTTTAAAGTGCATGACCCATAAACACTTTAAATTTGACCAGGCTATCGTTTCAATACATACAACTATTTGTACAAATGCATCCCACTAATTAATAAATACCGGTACTTAAAATGTGCGAAACGAGCCTCGTGTGTATTTGATTTATATAATTAGATACATTAGTGAGACAATTCAGGGGATTTTAAGAAATGTTGCTTAATATTACTTTCATATTTTAGTAAATAAGCTAAGCTGGAGACAAAATTAAAGCCTTAGACATTACTATTTAAAAAATCACTTAATTCGTTAGTAAAATGTTTTTGCAATTTATTTTAATGAGAACCGATATAGAAATGTTAAGCTAAGAAAATGCGTAGGAAGCACCAGATGTAAACTAAGTCCCGGTCCTAATATAAATGGTAATCTGTAACTTGATACCGGTGTCTGTTTAATCCGCTACAAGTTGGAGATTGGGTTTTGCATTCCATATGTAAAAAGCTTGAAAACTTCGCAGAATATTAACACAGTGTAACATTTCCGACTCTTTGCTAAAAAATACATTAATTTGATTTACTCTTTGTTTTACGGATCACAAAAGTTTCGAATGCGTTTATTTAATTTTACCTACGACCGTTTTTAAAGTTGCCGTTTCAGTTCAGTTATGAGAATTGAAAAGTTTCTCATGATATCATTGTTTACTTTCATAAAAGCATAGTTTTTCTCATAACAACACGGATAACGCAACAAGTAGATTCAAGGATTGAGAGAGTAGAAGTAAAATTGTAATTTGTCTAGGTGGCGTTCGCAGAGGCATCCACAAAATTGAGCGGAGTCATCAAGGGTTCATATTATATTGTTTTTGTCATACTGCAGTAAAAACAGTCGTTTTTAATTCATGCGTTGCGGGTCTAAAGTAGCATTTTTACTCTTTAGGGAGTAAAAATCGTTTTAGCCTCTCTGGAGTAAAAATCAGCTGTTGTCAACTCAGTTGTAAATTTATATTGTAAACGACTGCATTTATCGAAATATGTATCGATTCATGCTTCGTAATCATTTTAACCTACAGTCTACAGTCTCTTCCCATAGCATTTTAGCATTGCAGATACATTAATCCATTCCCATACTCATCACTGCTCACCTTTACTACTTCCTTCACCATCCCCTACGTCGTGGACCTGTTTCCTTCCCTTCTCATAGCATTTACGTATTAGATACATTTTTCTAACTGCCCAAACGGTTCCCCCACTCTGCACTGCCAGCCTTTACTACTTCCTTCACCACTTCCTACGTCGTCGTGGGGCCTGTTTCATTCCCTGCTCATGGCATTTTAGGATTGAAGATACATTAATCTAACTGCCACAGACGGTTCTCACACTATGCCACGTAGTATGTTTTCTGTGACTATGCTCATATTTTACCACTTCCTAAGCCACTTCCTACATCCTGGATCTGTTTTCATCACTTTCCATAGCATTTTAGTATTTTAGATACGTAAATCTAATTGCCACAAACATTCCCCACACTCCACACTGCTAGCCTTTACTACTTCATTCACCATTTTCTATGTCGTGGGCATGTTTCCATCCCTTCTCATAGCATTTCAACATTGCAGATACATTAATCTAACTGCTACAAACGGTTTCCAGTTCCCACACTCCACACTGTTCACCTTCGGGGCTATAGAATACACTGTATATACACTGTATTCTATAGCCCCGGTTCACCTTACCACTTCCTCCACCTCTTCTTACGTCGCGGACCTGTTTCCCTCCCTTCCCATGGCGATTGCAGATCCCTTAATCTTATCGTCATAAACAGTTCCCACACTCCGGACTGCTCGCATTTACTACTGTACTTCCTTCACCACTTCCCAAGTCACGGACCTGTTTCCCTCCCTTCCCATAGCATTTTAGGATTGCAGATACCTTAATCTAATCGTCATAAAAAAGTTCCCACACTCCAGACCAATGTGCCTTTACTACTTCCTTCACCACTTCCTACGTCATGGACGTGTGTCCCTCCCTTTCCATAGCATTTTAGGATTGCAGGTACCTTAATCTAATTGTCATAAACAGTTCCACAGTCCGGACTGCTTGAGTATACTACTTCCTTCACCACTTCCGACGTCACGGACCTGTTTCCCTCCCTTCAAAATAGCATCATAGGATTGTAAATACCATAATCTAATAATGGTCATAAACATATCCCATACCCCGAACAGCTCACCTTTACTACTTCCTTCACCACTTCCTACGTCGTGGACCTGTTTCCTTCCCTTCCAATGCCATTTTAGGACTGCAGAGTGCAGGTACCTTAATCTAATCGTCATAAACAGTTCCCACACTCCGGTCAGCTCGCCGTGACTACTTTGTTCACCACTTCCTACGTCGCGGACCTGTTTTCCTCCCTTCCCATAGAATTTTAGGAATGCAGATACATAAATCTAATCGTCATTAACAGTTCCCACACTCCAGACTGCTCACCTTTACTACTTCCTTCACCTCTTCCTACGTCACGGACCTCAAGCTTGTGTCGTCATTTGATTATATTTATGATCCATACCGTTTATTTTCTAATATCTGTGGAATAATGCTACCAGCTATTTTTTTACCTACTGCATTCAAAAGTCAACAGCTGATACTATGTCTTTGTTTATGTGTCAAACACTGCTTCCATTAAGGTTACATTGAAATTTTGAGACCCAGTGGGGCGGATTCCTGAGATACTTTATTAACGCCATATAGATGTTGGCACTTACCGATATGGTCTTTATCACCATGCAAAATTTGAAAATGATTGATTCAGCCGTCTAGGAGGAGTTTGCGTATTACGAAATGCATAAGAGCTTCGTTCGCTTCGCTCGCTCCGCTCAATTATTCGAACTTCAACTAATCAGCCGTTTAGGCCAATTTAATTGTTTGTGCCAAATTTGAAGTTATGAGTTTTGATTTTCAGGTATTAAAACACTGTCGTAGGTAAAGTAGGGTACGAAATTCGCGTAAATGGTGTTAATGACACTCGTAGAAGTTTTAAAAATTTTCTACTCTTGTAGTTAACACTATCTTTACGCAATCGTTGCGTAAATTACTATTACCATTCAAACACACAATGTTACTGGCAAAAATTAAGAGTGCTCATAAGTTATGTCATTCCTAAATAGCATTCATAGTTTGCATTTGGGTTTTTATAAAGATTTTTTTAAAATATCGACTGATAAATAAAAAAACAACTTGGGTATTGATTCCAGAACATGAACCTATAATGATGTACATAACTAAATGAATTTCCATTAAATATTTATATTTGAAATATACTTTAAATATGAATTTATTTTAGAAAAAGAAACTTTCCCATTGAGTGGCATATGGTTATGGTTAAATTAACAATAAGGTTTACTACTTAACTGCTTAGCAGTATTTCCATCACTATACAGTACTGAGAACACTAGCCCCACATAAGCCCTAAGGCTATAGTTAACTCTACGATCATCCAAGGATCAAAAGACTTTGGCACATGTTCTGGCGTCGTAGACTTGTATGCAAACATGTAACCATGTCTGGGACCAAGAGGGAGGTAAATAAAGGCTTGTAGTGTCGCAAGCATCTGAACAAAGGATTAACTTGTTTTGTACCATAACATCAACATTTCCTTTGAAATTAGATGAGTTTTACTAAACGTGATGGTAAAAAATCGGGAATATTTGGTGTGAATATGAGATATTTACTAATTAAGATTTGGCGTCAAAATAAACGCTTGTAATTAAGTACTGAGTGTAAAAATAGATTATACATGAATTTAAGTAGACGTTAATTAACGAAAGTCAAGCTACCAATAAAATAGTACTTGTTGGATTACATCTAAGGACTTCAATGCGAGTTTTTTTTAAAGCTAAAGAACGTCAACTTCTTGAGTTAAGATTTGGCGTCAAAATAAACGCTTGTAATTAAGTACTGAGTGTAAAAATAGATTATACATGAATTTAAGTAGACGTTAATTAACGAAAGTCAAGCTACCAATAAAATAGTACTTGTTGGATTACATCTAAGGACTTCAATGCGAGTTTTTTTTAAAGCTAAAGAACGTCAACTTCTTGAGTGTTAATCGTAGTGCATGTTTTCTTATGCATTTCGTAATACGCAAACTCCTCCTAGACGGCTGAATCAATCATTTTCAAATTTTGCATGGTGATAAAGACCATATCGGTAAGTGCCAACATCTATATGGCGTTAATAAAGTATCTCAGGAATCCGCCCCACTGGGTCTCAAAATTTCAATGTAACCTTAATGGAAGCAGTGTTTGACACATAAATTCGTTAATTGATTCACTTTTACTTTGGATTGCCTAATCTAAATGTGAAAAAGATAATTATGTGAATGATGTAAAATAAATAATTAATATTTATGTGTAACGAATAAGTTAATGAAAGAAACATAAAAAATAAGGGAAATTAAACCAACCACTATCAAGCACAACTATGAAGTCTAAAAAAAGAACATAAAAAATCACACGACTTGGTAGTCTAATGAGTGCGAAGGCAAGAGGTTTGCCTTACCAGTATTAATCTATGCTTGTGGATATTTAATCTATATCTAGTGGATATGAATCTAGCTGGATATTTGTGGATCTATATTCAACGGCAAATATTTGGGTTTTATCTTCCCTACGAAGGGAACAATTTTCGGAAGGATGTCGGTCAGATTCTAGAGACCTTTGCTTTGGATTGGATTTTCATCATAAGCCTTCTACGTTCCTTTACAAACGACGAATTCTTGTTTTGAAATTCCAGCCTCGCTTTTTTTATAAATCTCCGTCGCTACAGAGAAAACAAAGGTTTACATTTACAAGTTACAATGCAAACAACCTACACCAGTGTTTTGACAGTAAAGGGGCTCTCTCCT